TTTTAAGAGTTGTCGAATGTGTTAACAACAACCGAAGGTTTTAACCTGGATGACCTTTTTGACGCAAGACAATGAAACATCCTGGCAAAGAGTAATGACTGTGAAACTAATCATTAGTCTGGAGCTGACTCACGTCTGCTTCTCCGCAAGTTAGAGTATGGGCTTCTTCAGAATGTGGGCCACGATCTCTGGCTACGGCCCAAGCCCATAGGACAACAGGCTGTCTTTCAAGCTGGTTTAAAGCTGTGTTTCCCAACCTTTTTTTCTGGGGACCCATATTTTAAAAGCCACAAACCTTTACGACATTATTCATAAACTCCTGGGAAACATGATGTGAGACGACCCAAAAAAAAAAAAACTTTTGCGACCCACCTGAGGGTCGCGACCCAGTCTTTGGAGAAACAATGGTTTAAAGTGTGGCCCACATTCTGCATAGGTGATATGGGTTATTAGAATTCTGTAGTTCAGTGGTGTTGGCAGTTGATTAAAATAAGGCTGTGTGGCCCATTTCTGGGCCAGGTTGTTTAACCAGCAGACATTTGTCTTGTTCTGTCCTCGTTCGTTAACACGCAGGCCTGGCTGCCTTGCGCTCTTTTCTGCTTCTTTTCAGCCTTTGACTTCTTAATATTTCACGTTGGAAAAAAAGAGCAGCGAGTGTCAGTGAAGGCACCAAAAGGCCTTTCACATCCACTTGTCTCGATGAAGTCAAGTCTGAATGACGTCACGAATCGAGGTTCGAGTCAAACGTATGTTTGCATACGTATTTACAAAACAGATACAGTTGTATGCACGTATTTAATGTGATTAATTATCATCGTTTTGATCATTTAATTGTCTGTAATCTATAGCTTGTTTGGTAGTAAATGCTTACAAAAAATAAGAATGTTTGAAGGGCGATACATTTGGCAAATATCGACAATATAAAACCATTTTAACAGTAGCTGTTGATGATATTGTGTGATTGTGTGTATACGAACATGACGACAACGTTGTATACACAAAAACAGTGCAAACATTTTTGGCAAACAAAGGAAGAGAGAGATAGAAGGAGAGTGGGAGAGAGAGAGAGGGACACTACGGCAACATTGTGACGCACTGAGCCTTATTCATACCGTATTATGTTAATTACGCTGTATTGTCAGATATAAATAAATATAAAAGATATATTAGCGCAAAATTTAGTAATTCAACCTCTTATTTTTTTTATTGTTGCGACGAATGAACAGAATAACGTTTGTTTTTTGGGAGAGAACGAAAGGGGGAGAGTTTCATACGGATGTAAACGGATAGCTCAGGTTCAACCTTGTTATGTATTTAAATTTCGGTTACGAATATTGATGATTAATGTCGGAAATTAGAGGTTTTTAAACAAAGAAAATGTGTCGATGTTCAATGTGGACGTTCTTAGATTTAATTCAGACATTTGGGATTACAAGAGTTATGGGTTTATGGTCAGGAAACTGAGCCATGTTTGGGAATAGACATTTTTTTTAGTCTTGTTTAAGAAATTATATCGTCATATTTCATTTAGTTCAGAAAACACAGGGATAAATTCGGTATTATAATCGGCGGTGTAAGGTTGAAATAGTATCCGTAGCTCAGACACAGAACACTGGCTTTACACGAGGTCAGAAAACGTTTCATTTTAAATCTTACAATTTGAAGGACGAGGCCGCGAATTGGACTCGTTTTTGACTGTTGTTGGTCAAAAGAAATGAGGAGGCATTTGTTGACGTTTTGTTGTGATAATTCTGTTGTTATTTGTATTTCGAAATACAGGCGTTAATAATACTACCTTGAGCCGAAAATTGTTTGTTAATTTGCTTCAGATAAAACAAAAATCGCACGTTAACTGAATTCATCTCGGAAATGTGGCCTTTTATTTTGTCTAGACGTCGTCTAAAATATCACAGGTAAATGAGGAATATAACATTAATTGCGTTGTACTTGTTCAAAATAGTATCTGTTACGTTTAAATGTCATTGACCTTTACGGTTTCTGCGTGAGAAACACACACACACACGAAAAGCCCTAAATCTGTTCTGTTCAGTACGTACGGCGGAACCCTTCATACTTTGCGCAGTGCAGCTATAATTTGACGTCACTAGAGAAACGTTTCTTTCTTGAGGTCCAATTTTTAAAAACATGCGCGCGAACACACACACTATCCCTCGCTCTCTCTCTCTCTCTCTCTCACACACACACACACTACAGCCAAAAAATGTGTGGACTCTACATCGTTTACGTTTTCACACTTTCACGCTGTATGCTTCCAAAACGGCAGCAAATAACGTGCCACAGAAGTTTGAATTATTTTTTTTCTGTACTTTCACGCTTTTCTGTGCCTTTATCGTTGTTATACTCGGAGTAGGTTTGCGCTGAAACACTGTCTATTTATTTATATTTCTATAAAAAAACCGGCAAGTTATTACACAACGTAAAATAAATCAGTTAAAATACGACCATTCGCTCTCGTGAGGTGTTTATATATTCACACTGCGGTTTTATACTGGATATAAATTGGAAACTGTGGTTTCTGCTGCTATACGCACATTGATCAATCGGGGTTTTTTTTTAATAATTATTATCATTGTACTTTTTTAACTGCACGTTTGCCTCGTGATAGAATTGACACTGAAGCCTTAATCTGTATTATTTACTAAATGACCTTGGCCAATGATGAGCGCGTTTGTCCGTGAGCGCGAGTCAAAAAGAAAAAGCACGCGTTAGAAAATGTAGGTCATGACCCAGGAGAGAAATAATTAGGTTTTATTAGTGACCTAAAAATAGAGGTCTGGTTTTTAGATTTAAAAAAATGTAACCAGGAAAAGTAATTCTGAGCGTTTTACTTATTAGATGTTGAAGGGAAAAAAAATACGTTAATACGTTTTCATTCCTCTCTCCTAGGACCTTTAAATCTGAGTTTTCATCAAGACTGTGGGCTGAAAACTTATTTCTGAGACTCAGGTTCAAATGACTGATCAATGTGACCTTGCGTTTATTATAGGTTAAAACTGGGATTATATGGGCAAACAGAGTACTCTATGGTTACACTATAAAACGTTACTCTGTAAGACTGCCAAAAATGATTCCAAAATTAGTTGAGAGATTATTGCTCAGACTATTGCTGGCCTCCGGCCACCTTGGAAAATCTGCCCCGCTTCTGTCCACTGACCTGTGACTGAGCTGCTGACTGTGTGCATTAGTAACAGTGTGCTGTTTTCTCATGAAAAGAGGAAACGGATCTACAGCAAATACCGTGTACTTGTGTACTTTTTTGAGTGGATATACAATATTACAGTATCATATAAATATGATTTATTTCAACTGACGCAGAAAGAGATAACCTGCAAACATGAAAACCAAAGTATACAATATTGAGTGGAGTCTAATGTAATGTAATGTAATTTACTCAGTGTAATGTGGTGAATTTCATATAGTAAATTATAGTATAAAACCATACGACATAGCACAGGGGACGGCAAACTACGACCCGGGGGCCGGATATGGCCCTTTTGGCTTTTTAATCCGGACCACCAAACTTGTCCAAATTATGTTATTAATATATATTATTATTATTATACTTCTGCTTTTTCCCTGCAATGTCCGCATTTCACCGATAGATGGCGTCGAACAGGCTAAAAGCATTTTAGCATTTCGGGACTAGCAGATCGGGACTTTAACTTGGAACCCTGGAGACTTGAGTCTGACTTGAGCCGGACTTGAGCCTGACTTAAGTCTAACTTGAGCCTGACTTAAGTCTAACTTGAGCCTGACTTAAGTCTAACTTGAGCCTGACTTAAGTCTAACTCAAGTCTGACTCAGATGCGTCTCAACCTTTTGATCTGTGATTTGGACTCAAACACTAAAGATCTGTTAGAAACTGCCCCAGACCAAGACACTGCCACCGCTAGGCTCCTTGTTAAATTGAAAAATATGCAAAGTTGTTATTTTACCATTTAGAATTTTGGCCAATTGAACAATGGCTTCTTTAGGCCATAACACATTTTCCGACATGCTGCGGTCAGACCTATAACATTTGGTTTATGCAGGCTCAAATGTATCTTTCCATTCAAAAAAAAAAAGTTTCTGGACACAGCTCTGTTTCCTGAGTGATGTGTTTCAACGATTAATTTTTATTCCTAGTTTACAAGCTTTTTTTTTTTTTTTTTTCTACAGCAAATACCGTGTACTTGTGTACTTTTTTGAGTGGATATACAATATTACAGTATCATATAAATATGATTTATTTCAACTGACGCAGCAAACTTGTCCAAATTATGTTATTAATATATATTATTATTATTATACTTCTGCTTTTTCCCTGCAATGTCCGCATTTCACCGATAGATGGCGTCGAACAGGCTAAAAGCATTTTAGCATTTCGGGACTAGCAGATCGGGACTTTAACTTGGAACCCTGGAGACTTGAGTCTGACTTGAGCCGGACTTGAGCCTGACTTAAGTCTAACTTGAGCCTGACTTAAGTCTAACTTAGCCTGACTTAAGTCTAACTTGAGCCTGACTTAAGTCTAACTCAAGTCTGACTCAGATGCGTCTCAACCTTTTGATCTGTGATTTGGACTCAAACACTAAAGATCTGTTAGAAACTGCCCCAGACCAAGACACTGCCACCGCTAGGCTCCTTGTTAAATTGAAAAATATGCAAAGTTGTTATTTTACCATTTAGAATTTTGGCCAATTGAACAATGGCTTCTTTAGGCCATAACACATTTTCCGACATGCTGCGGTCAGACCTATAACATTTGGTTTATGCAGGCTCAAATGTATCTTTCCATTCAAAAAAAAAATGTTTCTGGACACTCGCTCTGTTTTCTGAGTGATGTGTTTCAACAATTAATTTGTATTCCTAGTTTACAGGCTTTTTTAAAAAAAAAAAAAACATGTTTTAGCTGTGGCTGTAGCTGAACTACTCGGTGGTGTTGGTCAGATGAGTGTTATTTGATTTTTTAGCTGTGGGATGAATTCCAGCGAATCAAAGATAATCCTCTCACTATAGCTGAACTACTCGGTCGTGTTGGTCAGATGAGTGTTATTTGATTGCAGGTGCTGCAGGCGGGAGTTGGGAGATTTGTTGTCTCTTTGTGGTCAGACTTTTTCTTCTGTTTTTCTCTCCTACGTGATTAAGGTTTGGGTTCCATTTGAAATGCAGAGATAACAGTAGATAACTATATAATTACATAAACGAATGCCTGTGTGTGTTTGTGTGTGTGTGTGTGTGTCACTGGAGGCCGACAGAGGGGTGCTGGGACCCACCATTGGTTGATGGAGGCTTTGAGGTCAGTTGTTGTAGCGAACTCTCCTCCCCGGAAGTAGACTCTCTCTCTCTCCCTCTCTCTCCCTCTCCCTGGCTCTCTCTCCCAGACAAACTGGTGTGTATCTGGTAAGCACTCGGAGAGGGTCTACAAACCTCCTGCCTTGTACCGAAGGCTCTTCGGATGACGTCTGCTGAGTGAGCAAAGACAGAAGAAGAAGAAGAAGAAGAAACGAGACAGAATAAAAAAACAAAACAAGAAAAAGACTCCTCCGCTTTCCAAGGGGACTAAGTGTTTCGGGGTTTTTCGGTTGTTTTGGTTTGAGTAATTTTTTTTAATTTTTTTTTTTTGTGCTGTTTCATGAGTCAGTTGTGGAGGAACAATGTCGTAGAGGAGGAGTTGTTTGGACAGAAGTGAGTGCGGAGCAGTCCATCTGCTGCTGCTGCCGCTGCCGAAACATAATATTTTCTTGCTCCCGTTGCTGCTTCTCTTTTGCATTCTTCATTTTTCCGCCGCTTGACTGAGCCGCAACCCGCAGTGAAGATGCTGCAGCCGTCTGCGCTGCGCTACAGTTAAAATCCTGAGAGTCCCGTGCGCGTGCGTGACCGAGTGAGCGAGCCAGTGCGTGTTTGTTTGTTTGTTTGTTTGTTTGTTTGTTTGTTTGTGTGTGTTCGATTGAGTTGGGTGATTGAGTGCATGCTTGTGCGCGTGTCACAATGAGTCTGGTCACCGGCTTCCCGCACCACCCGGTCATGCACCACCACCACGACAGCCATCACTACTCCCTGCACGCCGCCACCGCCGCCCGGTGCCACGAAGACGCCGGCGCGGCCCCGTACTTCACCAGCTGGCTCATCAGCCACACGGACATGTCACCCGCGGAGTACAGCCTGCCACCCGGCTACAGCCCAGAGTACCACGGCAGTAGCAGCGGCTCCAGCGGCGGCGGAGGAGGAGCAGGAGGCGCAGGCGGAACCGGCCTGGATCCGCACCATCACCACCACCATTACGCAGCCGCCGGCGCCCTGGTCCACGGCGCCGCAGCCGCTGGCGGCGGCGGGGGGGGGGGGGGCCTAACGGAGTCGGACTGCACCATCACCACCATCACGGACTTCCTCGCCCCGTGAAGCGGAGACCCACGGCCAACCGTAAAGAGAGGCGGCGGACCCAGAGCATTAACTCGGCCTTCGCGGAGCTGAGGGAGTGCATACCGAACGTCCCGGCCGACACCAAGCTGTCCAAGATCAAGACCCTGCGGCTGGCCACCAGCTACATCTCCTACCTGATGGACATCCTGGACAAGGACGGACAGCACGGGGACACACAGGCTTTTAAGGCCGAGCTGAAGAAGACCGAGGCCCGGGAGGAGCGCAGGAAGAGAGAGGCGGTAAGAGCCGGGGCAAAATACAGTTATATAACAACTGTATTTGTACGACATGAAACCAGGTCATTATTTTAGGTTTTAGGTTTTAAATGGAACGTGAGGCCGTACGACAAAACCACAGTGATGTAGTTACAACCTGGGTGTTTTAGGATCTGACTTAGAAACTAGTGTGTGTGTGTGTAAGAGTGTGTGTTTTTGCAGCTGATTTTACAAAGACCTAAAATGTGTCTTACTGAAAGACGGTAAAGCAGACAGAAAGTGCTACAGTGTTATATAATTATATATATAATTAGCGAAAAAAAATTAACATTAAACATGCACAGATTTATATTTAAATTAAAGCCTGACAATTTCAAACTTTGTAAAAAAAATATTAATAAATATTTGATAGAACCATGAAAATCATAAAAATGTAATTATCATTATAATTGGTGGTAGTATTAATAGAAATAGTATGAATAATATAATAGTCGTAACAGTACAGTAGTACTACTACAAAGGGTGCAGTAGTATTAGCTGACGTAGTAGTATTTGGAGCGACGTTAGTGGTGTGTTTGTTTGCGGTTGTCGCAGTATTTTCTGTGTTATTGAATTATTGGTGATTCTTTAAAAAAAAAAAAGAAAACTCGAAACAATTCCTCGACGTAAGGCCGACATGAACTCAAATAAAAACAAATACTTTACATTCTTTCAACGTCATCCTTACAATTATAGACGATTCAAAAGAGATGACTAAAACTGCAGTTACAAAAACAAAATAATATTAATGCTGTAAGAAAATATTAAAAAAATAAATAAATTCCATCCTGTAGGTCACATCGATGACGACACGGTCTCTGTTTATATAGAATGACTAAAACCTAAGGTGAATAAATATATTTAATTACATAGTTGCCAACAACAATAAAGATAATGCCGAGTATAATTATATATAATAATAACATGAGTGAAAAGAAGAATTAAGAACGATTCAGATTCACGTATTTAATTAGTTCACGCTAAAAACAGTTTACTTTTTCTTTTTTTTTTTGCTTTTTTAAAGTCCACACCAAGTCAGATTCAGACGTTAATTTTATATACAATTATAAATACGTTTAATTTGAATCATCAACGTAGTGATATAACCGCTGACCTCTAAATAAAAAATAAATCTATTGATATATAGTTTACTGCTGCGCAGGTTACACCGTCCACGTACTTTATAACTCAGAGTATTTATTTTTTTTTATTTTTTTTACTGAACAGTAATTATCACTCTCCTGCATTGTGAAAATTAAATACATAA